TGTATATATATTTTAAAATATTTATTAATGTTATTTTTCATTTTTTATTACTTCTCAATTTTTTTTTTAATTTTATGACATAATAAATAAATAAAATTATATACTTGGAGCGTGTTCTCAACGTGCCGTGTCCCATATTTTTTGAAAATTTGCGTGTCCGTATGTCCGTGTCATGTCCCATGTCTGTGTCCGTGCTTCTTAGATAGCTTTCTTTTCAACCTTTTATTTTTCATTGCCTTATATGTCTGTTTGAAGCTATTGGGGGCTAACTAATTAGAGCTACTAAAGTATTGAAATTTGTAACCTCATAAACTTTTATTGTCCGCATAGCAATATTATAGAAAAGCAGCTATCAGATTAATACTCTCTTTGAGCATGGAAGTTTGAGAAGGAAAATGGAGCTCCCCTTTCCACCCAGCACCCTAACTAGTTGTGTACATTCCTGTTGTCTAAAGAAATATTTTATATAACTGAAGAACATATTTATGTTATGTCTTAGAGAAAATAATTTATAACAGTAAGATGCCAAATAAGTAAGAATGACCAAAGGTGTGAACAATTACATCATGTAACAGTTGCCAGAAACAAAACATAGTGTCATTTATACACAGGATGGAAGAAAGAAAACCAAATGAAAGAGAATATTCAATTTACATACAGGAAGTTGGTATTCCGTTTCAGAGATGCGGCGCCCCCCTTTAATGGCAAAATGAGCACAACCAGGATACTTGCCTGTTCTTGAGTTCAAATCAAGGTACAAGTAACCCAAGTCACCCTGAAATAGAAGTATTATGCCTCAATAGAACGATAAGAAAAAATGTCAAATGGACCCGATTAGGGCTTTTCAAAAATGGCAAGAATGAAACATGTGAAACTATCAATGAAAGTAACTGCAAGGGGACCCTGTACCAACCGAAACAGCCTTAGGATGTTATAAGTTATAACCAGTGTCGATATGAAAATTAGAAACCATGCATTTTGTACCACACTAATGCATCAGAAAAGTAGCAACAAAGCTGATGAACATGCTTTTTATTATACAAACCACTCCTAAAAACTAGAAAATGACTATCAATAAATAATCTCCTACACTTCAAAAATAGGCACGCTTAGATGGATGTGTGGTATGCCTAGGAAAGATAGAATTAGATATTTGTACCGATGCTGATTTTAGTGATTTATAGAAGACACCATCCAATATCATTACCAAATCACCTCAAATTTGAAGCTACTGATGCTCACTTTAGTGATTTATAGAAGATATCATCCAATATCATAACCTAATTACCTCAAATTTGGAGCTAATAATAGCCTTCTATGAAGCATGGACACCTCTCCAGCAGCAGCGTATGGGTGTCCGACACATGTCAGACACGGACACGTAGTGGACACGTGTTGGACACTCTATGGGAGGTCCCCTTTTTTTTTTTTTTTTTTTGAATTTTTCTAGCCGGACACGCTTGGGGACACATTGGAGATAGAGGGAGAAACCCTAACCCATCGAAGACACACGCAGAGAGAGAGAGAGAGAGAGAGAATAAGAACCTGTTGAAGCCCTCAGCCCTAGATTGAGGTATGTTCTTTTCTTCATTTTTCTTCTTCGTTTTTGTTCATCTCTCTCTGATGTTTGTTCTCTCTCTATCTCTCTCTTGCTATGTGTGTTCGACTCTCTCTTGCTCTCTGTGTGTTCGACTCAGTTCTCCCTCTCTCTTTGTTCGACGACTCTTTCTCTCAAGTCACTCTCCTCTTTCTCTGTGTTTGACCCCTTTTCTCTGACTCTGTGTGCCACTCACACACTCTCTCTCTCTCTCTCTCTGTGTATTTGTTTTTTTTTTCTTTTTTAATACTTTTTTTTTTGAACAAAACCCTTTTTTACCCTTTTTTTCTTTTTTCTATTTTTTGAATATTTTTGTTGAATCTGAACATAAATAGAAAAAATTCTTTTTATTTATAAAATATATTGAGCATGTCCCTAGCGTGTCATGTCCCCTATTTTTTGAAAATTTGCATGTCCTTGTATCCGTGTTGTGTCCCGTGTCTTTGTCCGTGCATCATAGATACTAGGCGTGGGTGGGACACTACAAAACCGCCCGAAAGCCACCCCTATCTCAGCAGGTTTTATCTCCCTTATTTTTATCAGTTGGGCCGGTATTAGTAAATTGCTACAATACATTGCATTTTCTTCTGTTTTTTCACACTACTTAATTGTTCTCCTAATTCTTCTTGTAGGACCTTTTGAGGAGATTACACTCTCTTTATTCTCCCAAGGCCCATGTATCATCACAAGGTTCTGTCGTAGCTTTGCCAGGTGACAAACATGAGACTCGTTCTTCTCTAAAACAACAAAACACATCTGAGGGATCTCCAGAAGCCTTCAAAGCCTCATACCCATTCAAAGGAGGGAATGATATGAAACGAGCAGTTTTAAAATTGTCTCAAAGAGTTCCATGCTTTTGGTGGTTCCGTACAATCACGTTTAAGTTTGGCAATGGTCAGCTGGTCATATCAAATGGGAAAATTGTACTTGGCTGTTTTATGATTCTCTTGTATTATGTTTTGCAGAGGAAGCAAGCCACATTAAAGAGGTAAGTGGTGCTTTCCATGTTGGTTGTTCTGCTGGTTATGATATACTTTTTCATTTTTTTTTACTTGCTCTATGCAAGCCATCAATATCAACAGTCAAAAAAGGATTTATGTCTCCTTTGGTTTTGGATGTTTACTTTGGTTGTTACTTGTTAGCTATGATGTGCAATATCCTGTGGAGAGAGAGCATATTGTAGATTGTTAAGAATCAAACATCAAATATAAACTACCCCGTCCTTTTTTCTTTAGAGTGAAATGAGGACTGTGCTCTTTCATGACTAAACAGTGAGCTGTGAAATTGGTGATAAGGATAGAAAATATACTTTCTTATATCTGTTAACTACTGCATTCTCATCATTGTTAACTTATCTGTTTCTTACAACCTTTATTATGCATATGAGAACAGGCCAACATTTGGACATGCACCGTTTAGCTATTGTTATGAGAGATATGTGGTGTTTGTAACATATGTTAGTACTTTGATTAACCAACTTGGTCATTTGGTCGACCAGGGTACAAATTTGGTTGACCAACTGGGAAAACTTTAAAAAACAAGTGGTTTATACCTACCGGAGGGCTAGGCTACTTACACCCAACACCCCCATTTGGGGTTTCTTGATGAGAGAAGGCATTTAAGAGTGTTCATCCACATTTAAGAGTGTTCTAACAACCAGACCAAAACTAACCTCAACTAAATATAAGAAACGATCGATTTTGAGCAAGACAGTTAAAAATCGGATGATGGTATTTTCAACTCGGCGGTCTATGAAGTACGGACACGGACACGCGACACGACACGGACACGTAAAAACGCAAATTTTTAAAAAATAGGGGACACGACACGCTAGGGACACGTTCAATATATATAATTTTTTTTTATATATTATATGTAAAATTAAAAAATATATACTATTTTTATTTATTTATTTTATTTATTATATGTAAAATTAAAAAATATATACTAATTTTATTTTTTTATTTTATTTATTATATATAAAATTAGAAAATAAATATATTATTTGTATTTATTTATATTAGTATTTATTTACAAAAGAAAGACATAAAAAAGAAAAAAAAGAATAAAGGGGGAGAGACAGACATCGTAATAAGAGGGAAGAGAAAATAAAAAAAAAAAGGACAGAGAGAGAGTGATCACTGATCAGCAAAGACGAGAGCGAGAGAGAGTCAGAAAAGCAGAGACGAAAGGGAGGAGAAGAAAAGCAAAGACGAAAGGGAGGAAGACGAAGAGAAGAAGGAGAATATCACCTCAGCTTCTTCGATTGACAGGTTAGGCTTCTTTCTCCCTCAATCTCTTTCTCTCTTTCCCTCTTTCTCTGTCTCATCTCCTCCCTCGATCTCTCTCTCTCTCTCTGTCTCCTTCGATCTCTTTCTCTCTTTCTCTGCAACAGTTAGGGTTTCTCTCTTTCTTTGTCTCCATCGATCTCCTTCGCTCTTCCTCTGTCTCCTCTGCAACAGTTAGGGCTTCTTCGATCCACTCACGCGTGTCTGGAGAGTGTCCCGGCATGTCCATGGCGTGTCCGACTAGAAAATTTCAAAAAAAAAAGGGGATACGTTAGAGAGAGTGTCGGACACGTGTCTACTGCATGTCCGACGCGTGTCCGTGTCCGACACGTGTCCGACACTCGTACGTGAGGCCTAGGGATGTGTCGGTGCTTTATAGCTTAGGTTTCTCTTCTCCTATATAAAGGAGTCTTATATACATTATTATTTAATTATTCAACATAATATTAAATATACACATCATGTAATATTCTTTTTATTTCTCTTAAATATTGTAATACTCCAATTGGAAGAACGGGTCTCTTTATTTTGACCTATATACTGCTTATGTATGTGTATTTTAGTTTCGTGGCCAACTATGATTGAAGGTGTGATAAGAGAATTGGTTAAATTTTGAGTTTCATTGTGTTTTAGTTTGAGGTAGATAGAAGACTGACCATCTCTAGCCCTTGACCAATTTTGTTTGATTTAATATGAACTACTCTCTCTGTCCCAAAATAATGGTCCCTTTTGGGGAATTTAATTTTTTTTGATAGTACAATTATTACATTTGAAAAAAGTTAATTTTTCAAAATTATCTTTTTGATAGTACATTTTTTGAGAATATCAATGTCATAATTGTACTTTTTATATTGTTTATTAATTTAAAAGAATGGCAAAATAGGAAATTTATATTATTTTTGTACTTGATTTTTGAAGAGGGACTAATATTTTGGGATAATGAAAAATGGAATAAGGGACTACTATTTTGGGACGGAGGGAGTACTTCAATACTTAAATCAAAATCTTTTTAGAATTCCCTTTATATCCCAAATTTGATAGGAATTTTTTTTTATCTCCAATGACAATGATTCATCTTTTCTGATATTCATCAAAATGAGATCTGATGAGTTATCAATTTGATGAAAAAAATGACTCTTCTGATGTGATGAACATTTGATGAAATAATTGAAGATGATTTTTGAATACTTTTTTATCAAATTTAAACCTTTCTCTGTTTTCTCTATTAGTGTATGCTGAATGCAGCGTAAAAGAAATATGTTCGATTCCTGTTGCCAACTTGCCAAACACGTTTTAAAGGTCAAAATGAGCATATGTTGGGGGTTGAAATGAACATAGGTGGCATCATAAAGACCAACTGCTTAACTATTTATTCTGATTGATGTCTAAATTCACATTTAAAAGTGGCCTCCTGTTAGATTTATCAAAAAAAAAGTGGCCTCCTGTTAGAAGATACTGCTATCTGAAGAAACTTTTCCAACTATTTATGGTTATTTCTCAGCATGTTTAGATTAGAACTCATAGATGACTTATTAGTACTGTTAACATTGACTGTTTGAATTGCTTAACAGTGCTTCATTTCGTAATTTGCAATCAATTGAAGCATTTATTTGACAACAAAATTTCTTACCACTTCTTGTTACGTATTTGTTAAAGAAGTGGTATATACTGTTGTGTAACTAGTATGAGCTTTCAGATATCAGAGTGGATGGTTAGTCACAAAGAGTTTGAATTATCGGACTCCGACTCTGCAGTCCACATTGCCTTGATGGCCGAAGTGGTTGGTTATGATGCTACTGGGCAGTACTTACTAGGTCTACCTGACACTGGAAAAACTACAGAAACCTACAAGGCTCTGGTTCTCATTTATTATTGGGCTAGAAGACTTAAATATATTGACACGATTTGGGAGAGATGTAAAGGGATGGATGCCGGGATGGATGCCAATACGCTTCCTAAAGCTGTTGATAAAGCTATTCAAAAAATCAAACTACGAAATGGTGTCCTGAATTTGTTCACTTACAATCTGTGGATATGTTCATATGTGTCAACCAATAACATTGACACAGTTAGAACGATTCTTGATGAAATGACTCACGACTCTGGCTCTAATAAATGCAAGGTAAGATATGCAAACCTAGCAAACATATGTATTACCTTGGGTAACTTCATGAATGCGGAGTCCTCCAACACTCATGAAACTATCTCTCTTGGCTGGGTAACTTATGATTTACCAATTATCTTGTATACCGGTTTGGGAGACAAACACAAAGTTGATAAAATCTGGAATTTGAGCATGTCAGCACAGGAAATAACAGATAGGAATTACGGGTGTATTCTGTCTTCGTATCTCATGCTTGGTTATTGATCAATGGAAACAAACTTCTGCCGCAGAGTTAGTCATCTCTGACTGCAACAGGCTGTTAAAAGCATTTTCAGACGTTGGGTTGATGGAAACAGCTGAAACATTTCACTCGCTTCTGACTGAGAAGGGCTGCAATATCATATAGATGAGTCAAAGCAAGGGCAGGCCCGTGTTTCAGGTGATCCGAGAACGATGATCTGAGAGAAAATAAGTTGGGCTTGCTGCTCAGAGTTGCTGTTCTCTGCTTCTGGTATCCATGATCCTGGATTTTAGTTTTATCAAACCCACGGCTCCATTTGATGTTTCCACAAACTTTTGTCTCACTTGGCATTGCATCTTTCATGTTAAAAATCAAATTTGACAGTAGATTAAGATCATATTGCCAATAAATAATGACCTTGTTTGTTTTAATTTATTTATTTTTCATTTTGCACAGGTTGTGTATATATAATTTGTAGTCGAGTCATTTCTTAAATATAAAGTGTTATTCTCATAAACCTGGTGGATAAGTATGGACGCAGAAAGAATAAGAGGGGCATCCTTCTACAATTGAAAGAAAACAATAGTATACCAATATTAGTTATTGATTATTTTCAAATTATATAATTTTGTCCTTGTAAATTTATTAAATAAATTTTAAATAGTCGGTCCTCTATACAAGTTTGCCTTCTATATAACAAAAGAAATTAATTACTCATACTTATTGTCCATTACATCTTAATTAATCTGCAGTGATTAGAAGAAGAATCATAAATTCTTTAAGATTTTAATATTTTTTTTTTTTGATAACTGAGTGTCCGGGCCAGCTTTCGCGCACCTCGACTAATCTCAGGGCCCTGAAGTTAACGACCGGGCAAACCTCCAGTGGCCCCAAGGTGTGACTCGAACTCGAGACCTGTGGATTTTATCTTCCAAGCTTTACCGCTCGGCCCCCTGCCTTGGGGTTTAAGATTTTAATATTAATTCTATTATAGATATTGAATACAACTATAGATCATCATTTTAAAAAGTATATATATATTTTTTATGATTGTTACATTTTGAAAGTCAACATGGATATGTATAAAATAAAATTTTAAAAATTATTCATCATGTTATTTTTTACATTTTATTATATATTTATTTGTATTTATAAAGGAAAATGATATAGACCCCAAACAAATTACCAAATAAATTACTAAACCTCTCACATGGGTGTGGGACCCACACACATGTGAGATGTGTGGTTTGTGTGGGTCCCACACCCATGTGAGAGGTTTGGTAATTTATTTGATAATTTGTTTGGGATCCCTAGCATAACTCATTTATAAATATTGGTAAGTGAAGTGGGGCCTAACCTAACTAATTCAAGTCGTGTATTTATCACATGATTTTATTCCTTCTTCAAAAGTAGACTAAAAGGACCCAACAATTGCACGTGTGGTTCGAGCTGGGATGTCTGTTTGGTAACTCTCTGCATTTTGTAAAAAATAAACCCAAAACAAAAACAAACCTCACCACCCAAACAGGCCGCATAATCCCCATATTGGGCTCATATCTTTAACCATCATATCTCAATTCTATACATTATCCATCTTATCTCAATCTCAATGCATTATCACATTGAAGATTGGAGAAATTATTTTAATTTTTACTGTGAATTTTTTGCACATAAAAATTTGTATTATATTCTATGTGTTTGTAATTATTTTTCTATTTTCATAATATATACCATCTACCTATATGTCTTGGACTTAAGAATTTTCCGATGTTGTCAATGGTGATGAACTTTTGATGAAAAATATATAATTTGTTAGAAAAACTTCAAATATTGTTATAATGTCATTTTTTTAAAGATAGTATTTATCATTAATAGATGGTTATACTGGGTTATAACAAATTTGCCTTTAAATACAAAACTTGATGTAAGAATTTTCTGTATGCGTTTATGAATTTAAAATTTGATATTTTATTTATATATAACAATAGAATATCATAAGTTCAAAAAAAATCTTGAATGAAAAATCAAAACAAGAGAGAGGTAACTATAAAAAAATTGATCGAGATCGATGATTCGAATGGCAAAATTTTGATCTTGATATATAGACCTCCAAGCATCTGATCTTGAAGTTGAGGCCTAACGCTTTGGATGCAAATGCAATGAATTTACAATTTTACATTTAAATATTTTGACAAAGATAGGCTGAATTTGAAATTAATTATGTATTTCTTTATCCTAAACAGTTAATGTTGTGTGTCTTATATAATAGCAAATATATAATAGTATCAAAAAAAAATTGGCAATGGCAAGGTCACTTTTTTGAAAATTAGGGTTGAGATTAGGGCTTGCAAACAATAATAATAGACATGTCCAGCCAATTACCGGCAACAATTTGGGGGACGAGGAACCTCTGTGCAAAGTTCCAATAGGCGACGTGGAACCACTCCCACCATTGCTTTCAGATTTTCCCTTTCTCACACACACACATAATAACTAATTAAAACAAATTCTACTCTTACATAGTTTCATTTATAAAAATTATAAATAAAAAAAAAAAAAAGAAAAAGAAAAAGAACATGGATGATGTTTAACAGTAACTTATGAAATAGTAATTATTTAACCCTCAAAAGGGTGTGGATATCCGTTCGGATATGTGTATTTGCACTTTTTTAACAAAGAAAAGTAGTATAAATGCAATTAAAATTTTCCTTTTTAGGATTTAAGAAATTTAAATTATCTTTATCAATTTATTAAAAATAAATGATATATTGAAAGGAGTGAAGCCTTTTTCTTTTTTTTTTTAATATAATTGTAAAACTTAATTATGAACCCCAATAAAAAATTTTTTTTCTAGAACCGTCATTGCTTATAGAGAAATTGCATTAAAAAAAAAAAGATGATTATGACCATCTTGACAATTGAGGCAAAATACGTTTTTCAGATAGAATATTATTAGACACTCTTGGAAGTTGAAGGATTATGACATTGCTTACGTAATACTCTTAGTCAATAAGAAAATATAATGGATACTGTGTTATTATTTGTCTCTCAATTACCTAACAAAAATATGTCAACATATTCAACTCGTACCTTGTTTACTCTATTTTTTTTAAAAAAAATACTATATAAATAATGTCACAAACTAATTTAAGACTATTGAATAATCAATGTATTTTCAAAATTATGACAGCTCTACGTAGATTAAATGTGGAGTGAACAAGGCACTCCCATGTGGTGGTTAGTTGTCTATGTCTACAAGATGTATAATAGTGCATAGACATGGCACAGTTCCACTCACATAGTAAGAGTATCACATTTTGATACAAACATCATTACAAATAGTAAGGTCTTGAGAGAGATAGGCTAACCACCAGGGTTGGTGGCCTCGTGGAGGATACGGCACATTCCCTAGCTGAGAGCCATGGTCGATTCCTGAGAGGGGCGTTTGAAATCTTTCTTGAGAACACGTTCATACTCCTCTCGAACCTTGTTCTCTGCTGCAGCGTGTGGTTGCCCTCCATTGGTACCCTGGTGGTGGGTCCCTCACTTGGTGGAGGTTAATTCTTACCTGACAACCGGCTATCCCGGGGCCAACAGGGCCATGATGAGACCACAAAGCCCTTTTTTTCTCCAATCTAAAAAAAAAAAAAAAAAATCTCCGCTCTGTCCAAATTTGGGCAGAGAGAGATAGGCTTAGTTGGATTTTCCTTAGTATAGTGCAGTGAAATATGAGGTGTGTTTGGCTAGGCCGAAAGTGACCTGGCTTGTCTCATTTAGTGCGAGGTCTTCATCAATGGAATGTGATTGGCCATATTAGAAACTCTAGTCACAACCCATTTTGAAAATATAATTTGCAACTGTAATTAATATGTGATGCTTTTGCAATGAAAAATAAAATGTTAGATTATCAACTAAAAGGAACAAACAATACTCCTTTAAGTTGGACAAAGAAATTACAATTTTTGTATATTAAACATTACAATTGTATTATATATATATATATGTTTTATAAAATGTTGAAAATAAAGTGATTCGAGATAAGTTATGGGGGTGTAAAATTGTTCACACTTGTGTGAACAATACACAACATCTCATTGGTTGAACCGATAAAAGTTCAAAATGAGGAATTAAATTTGTTGGGAAGACGGAAATTAAGCACAAAATACATATGGATAGACAAGGACATAATATATATTTTTAAATTTCAAGGGAGAAGGCCAATGTAATTTATTTATTTATTTTTTTTTTTTAAGGCTATCTCAACTGGTCACTCATGTATACTTCTACTTGAGAGGTCAGATAGTTAATCTTTACAGATGCATTATGTGACTCTTTATTATATTGTTAAATTCTTTTCCATTATGAGACTCTTTGCTGAATGAAGCATTACATTTATATAATTATTGAACTATTATTGTTTTGATATAATTCTTTACATATTATAAATAATTTCTCATGCATTGTGGCTTATGATGAAGTAGAAACAAAAACACTGTACATGATTTTAAAATTATTTTTAATTCTAAAAACAGCATATGGGAATGGAATTGAATAGTTGATAGATAAGAGGAATTGTGGTCATACGCAGAGCCACTTAGAGCTATCATTTGGTCCCACTCTCCTTCATCGTCTCTATCACTGTCGGTGTTATGTTTGTTGCTCTGTGAGTTCATTCTGAAAGACACCCATGACAATAATTAGCAGCTTATGAGTTTCAATTTATTTTTTTTATAATTATATTTGAATTTTAAATTTAGATTAAAAAAAATCGTGGATGAAAAATAAAGGCCAAGAAAAATGTAAAAATAAATTAGCTTACGCAAAAAAACAAAAAACAAATTCTTATTTGGTTCTTCTCAAAAAAGTCTTTACATTTGTATTTGACACTGTGGAGTGAATATGATTCTTTCATAAATTATAACGAACTCTTCTAAGGTTTTGAAAAAAAAAAAAAAAAAGTACATTATACAATTTTGACATAATGATATTGGGTTCACTAAGGTTTTAATTCACATTATTTCATTAATAATTCATTAGTCATATGAATAGAAAAATGATATTATTATTTTTTTTTACATTGAAAATGTATATTTTTTATTTATTTATTCTTGTCATATCATCTGTACTTAATTCTGATCTCTTTATTTTTATTAAAAGAGATATCGATGTAATTATATTAAAATTATGAAATTTGTCTTTTTGTAAACCTCAAAGAAAGTTAATATAATTTATTATTATTAATTTATTTTTTTTAAATGAAGAAATAAAAGACAGAAAAAAAAAAAAAATGAAGTAGCTTTTGTGAGTGATCAAATCAAGCTTCAGGCAAACAATCATTCAATGGATCTTGAAAGAGACCATAAAAGTCCTAAACAGAGCATTGGAGGTAAGTGGCCAAAGATATGAACAGCCTTTGATGTTAAAAAAGGAAGCAAAATATGATAACTGATAAAGCCAAGTCAGATCCAGGAGGGTCTGTGATTGAAATGGCTCATCAACTCTCATACTGCTGTAGTGAGGGTAGAAGCGACTCAACCATTAGATTATTTAGACGACTATGTAAGGTTCACAATAAAATTTCAATTATTATTTTTTTTTTATTTTTTTATTTTATTGTTGAAAGCTTCAATTTTTTAAAGGCTTAAATAAGATTTTATTTTGATATTTAGGTTAAAGCCTCCAAAAATCTTGAGCCGCCATGGTGTGAACACCATAATGGATTTCTGTGTAGTTGATAGATCTATTTCTAATTTTTCAATACAAAAAATTGGTAGTGTTTGATGCAACTTATCTCAACTGTTTATAATTATTCACCCAAAAAAAAAACTGTTTATAATTTTTGAGTTTTTGAATTTTTTTTCGTATTTTGTTATATTTAGTGAACTTTTTTTTTTTTTAAATGCAAACTAATCTAAATATACTTAAAAAGTAAAATATATGTGAAAAAATATAAAAAGAATTCAATAAATACAATATATATATATATATATGAAAATGTATTAAACTTTTTTTTTTCCTAATATATATATATATATATATTTGTATTTAATGAATTTTTTTAAGTATATTTAAATTAAGTGAATTTAAAAATAAAAAATTTTGACTAAAATATTTTTAAAAAATCACTAAAAACAAAAAGGTAAAACACTAATAAATTCCAAATATGAATTTTATGAACTGTTTCTCCTTTTTTTTTTTTTTTTTTTTTTTTTTTCCTAAAGATCTCGTTCTAGTATGAATTACATAAATGGCTAAACATAAACGTGCGTGTGTTATGTGTTAAGGGATAAATGTGAGTTTTCTCATAATGTTAAAATTACCAAACATAACACTTCAAAAAAACTCTTTTGTGTACTTTTCTCAAATGTAATCTTCCAACATAACACTCAAAAAATGTAATACTCTAATGTAACACATTAAAAAAAACGTCTTAGTGTAATTTTCAAACGTAATAACGTAATATTTTAAAAAAACTCTTTAGTGTATTTTTCTCATATGTGACACTCCAATCAATGTAACATACAAAAACTTTTTACTATATAATATATTAAAAAAATTCTTAGTGTGCTTTTCTCAAACGTAATAATCTAACATTCCAAGAAAATTTCTAATAAACTCCTTAGATACTTTTTTCAAATGTAACACTTAAAAAAAACTTCTTAGTGTATTTTTTTCAAACATAACACTCTAATTAATGTAATACACAAAAACTCTTTAGTGTACTTTTTTCAAATATCGCACTATAATGTAATACTCCAATTGAACTCTCCAATATAACACCATAAAACCATATTAGTAGAAATGTAAATTTCAACGTTTGACAATTAACACTTGAGTCACCAATTCCTCTAAAAAGAATCTTTTACACCTCACCTATCCATTCACATCTAAAAATCGAATCAGAAAATTAAAAAAATAAATCATAAAAAGACATTCACTTAAACTCAAATGGCACCAAATCAAATGTATATAACTTTTCAAAACAAAGTGGACTAATTGATTTATAAGAAAACCATTAAAACTAAATGGATCAATATTCTCCCATAGAGGATTTATGGATAAATTTTCTAAAACAAAAATATACTCTTCTAAAATTCAAAAACATTTTTTGAATACTTCAAAACGAAACAGAGCATAGTCCTCCACCGTTAAAACAATGGTCCCTACAAACCAGTATTGTCAATCTTGAAATTGCCTCAAAGGGCTAGTCATAAAAGTTTTTGGGACCCTTATTTCCAGACTTTTCTCAGTATTGACAAGGTTGTGTTTGTGGCATATGCAATGTACCATTTGTTATGCATAAAGTACAACAATAATTCATCATCCCAACAAGTCAGGATTTGAATGCAGATTCCCACACAATTGAACTAAACAGCTAAGGTGATAAATTATGGGTTTGTTTGGTTTTAAATTAGTAGTGGGAGTAAAGAAAAACAAAAAATGAGAAGAACGCATGTTTTGTTGTGCTTCTGTTTTCTATTATTTAATTTTTTTAGCTATTTTTGAATTTTCAAAAAATGTCTATATACAAAAAAGAAAAAGTATTTTTAATGTTTCGTACAAAATGAAAAAAAGAAAAAAAAGAAAAGAAAAGATGTTTTCTAACTTTTCTTTGTTTTTGTTTATAAAAACACAAAACACAAACAAACAAGCTAAAAACAATATATATATATATATATATATCTTTTTTCCTCACATGTTGCAGACCTAAATAAAACATGAAATTCAAAATTTCTCAAAGATACTAATATATAGAAAAAGAAAAAGAAAAAAATAAAATTAAAGATGGAAGGTTTTTTTTTTTTCATGTCATTCTTCATGATCCTCTTATTTTTATCTGTGTTTGCATAATGGTTTTTAAATTTTATTTTCTTTCCCTTCACAAATCAATGAGAATCTAATTGTACTAAAAATGAAAAGGATTGGGTCAGATTGATTAATGATAATTCCAAACTTCAAAAAATTTGATGACTAAGTTGAATGGTGGGTCAATTTAGTGTGAAAGTGATCAACAATTAGCCAAATAAGCCAATCAGATTTCATTTTTGTCAATTATGGGTACACATAATAGTTGAGACACTCATTCATGTACTTAACCAATCATTTTTCGTTGTATTAATTTATATTCTCACTTAGAAATGTAATTCAGCCAATGCCATTAAAAGCAAATGGTCCAACCTCCTCAAAACTGGGTGGCAAGTTAGTAAAATAGGAATTTCATCCAATTTGGTTTTTTTAAAAAAAGTTTCACTATTTCTCTTAATGTTTTGGGATTGTAATACACTTTGGCATTATTTGGGAAGGGTTAAAGTGACTATTTTAGTCACAAAAGATAAAATAGGCTATTTTAATCACAAAAAACAAAACATCACATCTAACTCATAATCATTACACTCTTCTTTCATAAAAAAAGTCAAAAAGCCAAAAATCATTCTCAAACCAAATTTTTTAGCCCAGGCCAAGATAGCAAAAAAGCCAATCCACTTCTTTATATGCTATAAATATATGAAAAAGATAGAATGATACTAGGATTTAGAAAAGACCAGATATATACAATCTTATTCTTATATACGTCGAATTTATATTTGTATTTCTAATCCATGATGCCTAAGATTTGAGAAAGGTCAAGTTTATACAGTATTACTCTCATGTAAATAGAATGTTTATATATATTTTAGTTCATGATGGCGAGATTAACAAAACAGTGTTAAGATAGAAAAAAAAAAAAAGAAAAAAGAAAGGAGCTCAAAGAATGGCAGATGAATGATAATAGAGAGATTATCTTCTTCTTCTTCTTCTTCTTCTTCTTCTTCTTCTTCTTCTTCTTCTTCTTCTTTTTTTTTTTTTTTGTTGTTGTTGTTGTTGTTGTTGTTGTTACAGGGAAATCCTCTCACCCTCCCGCAGGTCCAAGGCAGCGCCCCATGAGAAGATCACCAAAGTGTCCTGTTGTCCGTTCCGAGTAAGAGATTATAACTTGGAAGTTTGTCCCGACTTCTCAAGGCAAGTTTCGATTAAGTCAGGACTCGCACAGCGGGGAGCATTAAACTCACACCAAGTAGCTGATTAGGCATCCTTGAGGTCCAACCTCCTAACCAACAGTGTTCGCCTAGAAAATTGGCCCCAAAAAAAATTAAACTTGTAACCTTGAGATTTAAACTCCAAAATCTTAGCACAATGCCACAACCCCTTGGGTTGAGAGATTATCTTAATATCCAAAGCTAAAGGAAAAAAAAAAAAAAAAAAAAAAAAAAAATGAAAGGCAAAATGACCCCCCAAAAAACAGTAAACAGTGATGCCCATGACTTCACAGCCTGTAAGAACCCTTGAATATCTGAGAGAGAAAGCCGACAATTAGAGATAATTCCAAGCAATCCCATGTGGGATTCATCCTTTTTCACTCACTCATCTTGATCATCATCCCAAGCTTCTGTCTTCTTGTTCTGCTCTGCTCACTTATATTCTCTCTGTTCTTCCCCTGAACTCTGAACCAGAGAGTGTCACTTTCCTGAGAAATTTCCCTGTTCAGATTTTCTGGGCTTTTTAGTTTCTGTCATGTGGGATTCAGAGAGCGAGTCAGCTGGAGGAAGAGATTACAGCAATGGAGTCCTCACTTCCAGCAAACATGCTGTAAAGACTGATGGGTTTGAGCAAAGAGGCAAATCTTGGTATGAAATATTGAATATATTCTATTGTAGAGCTAGTAATGACTTTTGTTTTGTTTGTGTTTTTGTTTTTGGAATCACTAAGAGCAACTTAGAGCACATGAACTTCTCAATAATATTGTCTGTAGTTCTCAAATGTAAATAGGTGTTTTGAAACTGATGTTCCAAGTGATTTCTTGGCTCAAATTGGAGATTCTAGAGCTAGTAATCACTTTTGTTTTTTTGTTTTTGGAATCACTAAGAACTTCTTAGAGCACAAGAACTTCCAAATAATCTTTTGGCTCTCAAATTTTATAGGTATGTTGCAACTGATGTTCCAACTGATTTCTTGGTTCAAATTGGAGATTCTAGTTTCCACTTACACAAGGTACTTATTTCTCTCCAAAAAAAATTGAAATTCACGCTTCAAATTGAAAATTTTATCACCAAAAATGGTTTTAATTCAACTCTCTCTCTCTCTCTCTCTCTCTCTCTCAAGTATCCCCTGCTTTCTCGGAGCGGGAAGATGAATAGAGTCATATATGAATCACGAGACGCAGACTTAAACAAAGTACTTTTAGATGATCTTCCCGGAGGACCCGAGGCTTTCGAGCTAGCAGCGAAATTCTGCTATGGAATTGCTGTCGATCTCACTGCAACAAACATTTCAGGCCTAAGATGTGCAGCAGAGTATCTAGAAATGACAGAGGACTTAGAAGAAGGCAATCTAATCTTCAAAACTGAGGCGTTTCTCAGCTATGTCGTCTTATCATCGTGGAGAGACTCAATTCTCGTATTAAAAAGCTGTGAAAAGCTTTCTCCGTGGTCAGAAAACCTCCAAATCGTGAGAAGATGCAGCGAGTCAATTGCATGGAAGGCTTGTGCCAATCCAAAAGGAATTAGGTGGGCATATACCGGGAAACCCCCAAAAGTTTCAAGCCCAAAATGGAACGAAATGAAGGACTTGAGCCCGAGCAGGACTCACCAACACCCAGTCCCTCCTGATTGGTGGTTTGAGGACGTTTCGATTCTTAGGATCGATCACTTTGTTCGCGTCATTACAGCGATTAAAGTAAAGGGTATGAGATTTGAACTGATTGGAGCTGCAATAATGCATTACGCGACGAAATGGCTTCCTGGTTTGATCAAAGATACGGCGGGGATGGTAGACGAAGGAAGCAATGGCAGTAACAGCAATGGAAGTAGTAGTAGTAGCAGCTGGAAAGGCGGGCTCCATATGATCGTAGTGGCGACTAAAGACGATATCCCAACCGTTCAAGCGAAAGATCAGCGACTGATCATCGAGAGCCTGATAAGTATTATTCCGCCGCAGAAGGACAGCGTGTCATGCAGCTTCCTTCTGCGGTTACTGAGAATGGCGAACATGTTGAAAGTGGCTCCTGCTTTGGTAACCGAACTGGAGAAGCGGGTTGGAATGCAATTCGAGCAGGCAACATTGCCTGATCTTCTCATACCGTCTTATAATAAAACCGAGACTTTGTACGATGTCGATCTTGTTCAAAGGCTTTTGGAGCATTTTTTGGTTCAGGAACAAACAGAATGTTCAAGTCCTAGGAGGGAGTCATTTTCGGATAAACACATGTATGAAGGGACTCAAAGGGGTAACATTGGTATTCCAAATGCCAAGATGAGAGTGGCAAGGCTTGTGGATAGCTATCTTACAGAAGTTTCTAGAGATAGAAATCTCTCCCTGACCAAGTTCCAGGTCCTGGCTGAGGCCTTGCCGGAATCAGCAAGAACGTGCGACGATGGACTGTACCGAGCAATTGATTCCTATCTCAAGGTAAATTTGAATCGAATTCTGTGAGTTTTTCTAGTAACTTTTATTTTTGATCTAATGATTAATATCAGAGTTTTGTGTTTTTCTACGAAATATTGGTACATAGAAGGTGTGCAAGACAGAAGGTGTGAAAACAAACACAAACATATCTGTACATAGCTGATTATTAGAAATGCCGGAGACGTTAAAAATAACAGAACACCTAACTAGGATAGGTAAGACACGAAAAATAGAGAGGAAAACTAAACAGGAATTGTAAATCGCACGCAAACACAAGATTTATGTGGTTCATCCAAAACTAGGGTTCCGTATCAGTTTGACTATGATCCAAAAAGAGTTACAAAATGAGATACCCAACAAGGAACTCTTTAAAACAATGTAAGGATGAAAAGAAGACAAAAACAGAACAGTTAAATGGCATGATTCCTCTGTAAGTTTTTAAAGTGTAAAACAGTCATACTTCAACAGTAGAAACTGTATCAAGTCTCTTTTTGTTTCAACAGAATATTGAAATTAAACAAGAGAATAAAAAATGTAACTGTTTTTCATCATAACTAATGACAATGATGGTATGGTAATAATTGGGGAAAAAACGCCTGTTATGTCATAAATGATATTATAATGGTTCAATATTTTTTAGTTTTCACTCAACCTAAAAAGTCTGCCTTTGTTTTGTGAAACAAAAACATTGTATTGGATTGAAAGTTTGATTTGTTTTATGAAACTCATAGGCACATCCAACACTATCAGAGCACGAAAGAAAGCGCCTCTGCCGTGTCATGGATTGCCAAAAGCTGTCAATCGATGCTTGTATGCATGCTGCCCAAAATGAGCGACTCCCATTAAGAGTTGTGGTGCAAGTTCTGTTCTCCGAACAGGTAAAAATAAGCAATGCAATGGCCAACAATTCTCTGAAAGAAGCGGGTGAGTCTCAGTACCAGCCCATGATATCAAACAGGAAAACATTACTCGAAGGAACTCCACAATCATTTCAAGAAGGATGGGCAGCAGCTAAAAAGGACATTAACACGCTTAAATTTGAGCTCGAGACTGTCAAGGCCAAGTACCTAGAGCTCCAAAATGACATGGACAACTTACAGAGACAGTTTGATAAGATGGCAAAGCCGAAACAGTCATCAGGGTGGACCAGTGGATGGAAAAAACTGAGCAAGCTCACCAAGATGACAACATTAGAGACAAGTGAGACTAGCCCTCGGATGCCAAATGCAGAACAGACCAGAAAGGCACCTAGAAGGTGGAGAAATTCCATTTCCTGAGAACTAAGAGATTGCAAAGATGGATTACGTACATTTCAACTCTTCATCGCCAGCGTTACTTTTTTTTTTTTTTTTATAATTTATTGATTTGAGTAAATTTGGGGGATTTATCCCTTATAGCAGTTGGTTCAAAAGTAGCTCCAGTCGTTTTCTGATCTGTTTTTTAGTCTTTTTCTTAGTGATTTCTGTAGTTCTTGTCATTATTCGTTGTTCTAGAGTGCATAGTTTGTGTAAGGAGATGCCAGTGTTAACAAACACACTTCTTTTTTTTCTATCCTGGTAGATAAATTTGTTTGGTCAAACAGAAAAGAAAAGAAAAAAATAATGACAAGACAAACATTTGATTGCTAGTGACCTTTCGGCTATCAGTAATCTCACTGCACAAAGTGCACTAGTTGTTAAAATCATACTGTGATTCAAATCTTATGATTCAAGTCGATTCAAGCCCTATATGGTACAATTTGGTTGGATGAATTGACAGAAGGCCTGAATCAGTGGTGAATCAGTGAACATCATCGATTCTGCCGAATGGTTCTTTTTCTATTTTTAGCCCCTTTACTCTTTGTTATTGGAAAATGGTTTCTCAAAGCCTTTTAAGGTAGTTCTATATTATTCTTCTCCACTTTATTTCCTTTTTCTATTGTCTTTAGACCCTTTGTGCTTTCAATCCCCAACTTTTAACAGACAAAGAATTTCTTCCTTCCCTCTACAAGGCCTCGTATTCAAATTTAACTTTAGCTTCTTATATATGATGGGCCTTGAAAACTCTGCTATTCATAGTGTTCTATGATTTCTTAAATTTTTTTTTTTTGGCTTTTTTTTTTTAGAAGTGAATCAATGCACACAAACACATGTAACACAGAACATCCGCATCTTTGGACAAGAAGGCAAACACTTGGCCTTCTTGATGACACAGTCACCATTCATATTTTTACATGTCTATTTACGTCGCTCTACCTATTTCTAAAAAGTTAACCAATTCATGATTTCACAAAAAGAATTTCAATTCATGATTTGTATCTCGATTTAACAACTATGGAGTAGACTGACTAACAAGAGGAGCAGAACACATGGAAACATGACATGCTCATATGATAAGAAAGAAAGTATATAAAGTTGCAATGATCTGGCTTGAATAATAACTCTCTAACAGAAACATGCATGTTGTCATGAGACTCCTGACATGTCTCTTCACAACCCTACTATTTGACTGAAAGGACATGAGCTTTTGATAGCAATCAGTGAGTCCATGCCTAAAATGGGCCATAATTGGGAAATGCTAATACATGCACCCCAATGAATATGGAAAAAACATGCACCATAAGATTTTTCAAATTTGATCCTGTCTGGCATATGAAGGCATTGTCCACATTACATGTCTTGTCAATAGGCTAACTGTAAAAGGAATTTTGAATGGCTAAGAGAGAGTTTGGAAGATAAATTTGGTAATAGTTTTGAAATAGTAACACTAGGACTCCAGCTTGTTTGTCACTATGTTCAAGGTGAATAGTGTTGGGCACCGTCCCTTGTTAATCACATGTTGTCTGTGGATTCGATATGGGTGTCAGGTATAGACATGTGTTAGTGTCGGACTCAAATACTTCTTAAGTTAAGGACACTACGGCAACTATTTATTTTAATTTTTAAGGGTAAAATTTATGTTACATAGACTCGGGTATGGGTGTTGAGACCCACCAAAACTCTAATTCAAGGTAAGCGGACATAGCAAAAAAAATATCATATTTCTATGCTTTTAATCTATTTTATTGGGTAACTCGTGTTTTATGTAACGTAGTGTCAAAATGGCATTTTACTCATTTTATAGCAATTATACAGCAAAACATACATATAGAGATAGTGTTAAATATAATTATGCGTATATAGCATTTTAGGTATAGAATGGGAGTTTAATACATAGTTATATGGTGAACTCGACTACTTATACATACTTGTTGGGTGTATGCACAATTAGGTATATTGGACACATATCCCATGCCCTTACGAACTAAAATATAGCATTTTTATGTATAAAATGAAAGTTTTATGCATAGTTATGTAGTGAACTCGACTATTTATACATACTAGTTGGGAGTATGTCCAATTAGGCATTATTGGACACATCCCATGCACTTTTCCAAGTGTCAAAGTGTCCAATGCAGGTTCATCACAAAATAAAAAAATCCATGTAACATAGCATATTATCCCAAGGAACATTCACATATATCAGAGTAAATGATAACAGGGGGAAAAAAAATTTTGTTACTACTCATTGCATTGTTTCTCCATTTCTGATGTATAGCATAATGCATGGAATGTTCATACAAAGCAGATACCTAGCTTATGAATCTTGGAAAAACCAAGCATGCTTGTTTTGTTTCTTAAATTGCCAAGTCTATCTACTGGGGTCCTAGTTTCTGAAGGAATGACACATTATTGAAATGTAAACTTCAGTGATGCTAACCCTTGAGTCAGCTCTAGGACTTTGTTTCAGAATAACTCAAATGAGACATGGAAGACGTATTTTTACATCCTATAGCTTCGGAAGATCACTTAACCCCATTCATCTTCAGCACAAAAGCACTCAATCAGTGAGCTATTACGCACTCTTTCAAGGGTGGTTGCTACTAGGCAAACCTCCTCCTAGTTATCTCTGCACCCCTGCCTCCTTTATCACTGAGCAATTTGAGAAATAGCCTCTCTCTCTCTCAAGCGTTATCTTTCTTCCTCTGCTTCAGTGGGACGGAGTAAAATTAACTACCTCAATCCCGATTCAACCATGCCAAGCAGCAAAAACCCAATATTTGTTTGGATTTGCTCATTTATTTTTATTTATCTATTTATTATAAGTAAGCTAGACTCGCCATACACAATTGTGTCCTAATTAGGTCCTGCTGGGATGACAGGAAATACCACAGAGGTTATCAGCTGGTGGTTTGGCTTCCCTCATTTATACCCTCCATTCTTATGCTGCTACTTGTTCGCACAGTTGGTGTAGAACACAACCAGTTTGAATCTAATGACAATCAAACACACAAAGTTAGGGCCTTTTGGACTCATCCCAGCAGAGTAAACCCCCGTATATCTGCAATCACTTGCAAATTACAAACATTGGTTAAGACTGAGAGACACTAGCGAGAGTCGAAACCAATACATCTAAGTTTATGGCTCGGACGTCTGATAGCCTATTTGGTTGGGTTGAAGAAAAAGAGGATGAGTGAACCATTCTAAAATCTCTATCTTTGGACTTTTGTTAAACACTTAAGACAACAGTTTTCAGAAACATAAGAACATGCAAAGACTAGTTGCTCTGCTATCACAAGTAACAAGCCAAGTAAAATAAACACATCTATCATCAGTGTCTAATATAAATTATGGGATATGTAGAAGATCATCAATGTCAGACAACTGGTCACAGAGAAATCCAATATTATGTACCCCAAAAAAAAAATAAATTCAAGAGTCAGATTAAGTAGAATATAAACCATGTTTAAGAAACAAAGAAACGGATGTACCCAGTGCACAAACCTTCCCCTTAACGGGATCTAGGGTGTAAAAATAACTGATGTATTATTATTGATTGATGTATTACAAGATTGTTGTATTGTTTATATTGATTACAACTCCTATATATAGAAGAGAAGGTAGCAGATTGTGGTGGTGCTGGTAGGGGGTGAAGTGGAGGTGGTAGGTAGAGTGGGTTAGGTTTAGTGGAGTTGAGTGGGTGTAGTGGGTTAGGTTAGTGGGTTAGGTTTAGTGTACATTAACATAGGGAATGATTGATGTACGCAACATCCCGCAAGTGAAGAGGCTGCTTCCGCAACTCAAAACCATGACCTCCAGGTCACCATGGGGTAACTTTACCGTTACGCTGGACCCCACTTTTGTTTAGGAAACAAAGAAAGAAAAAGAAAAAGAAAAATAAATTATGAATTAGAGAAGGACCAAACCTTAGACAATAAATTCTGAATCCCCAATTTGATTTTGTGATGTTGGGTCTTGAAGAAAGAGAGATTGTGGGTTGGTAATGGAGGTGAACAGAAGAAGAATATGAGACATTAATTTGTATAAATTTTAGAAATGTATAACACAGCCCATTTGATGAAGTACTTAAAATTATGTATTGTATACTTTATTTTGTTTTATTTGAGAATAAATGTCATTTGATATGTGCATTTTTTGCTTACAATTAATTTTTAAAAAATATATAAAATGAAAATTTGATTACCGAAAAGTTGAGGCTGATGTTTTCAAGTTCTGCTTATCAATTTTTATTTTGAGCTCAAAAAAAATTTACTCCAAATCAAGTACTTGGGTTCAAGTGTTTTCCAGTTATTTATTTATTTATAAAAGTTTACTAAAATTAGTAATATTTATTCTATGTTACTTGGACTTAGATAGGATTATTGGATGCAAATGTATATTTAAAAGTCAGACATATCAAACTCTAAATTTTAAGTACGCGGACTGGATAAAAAAAAAAAATCTAAAAAGTAGATATGAATATGGAGATACGTCATCTAATTGGAAAAAAAATAATTTTATACATATGATTGAGAATTAATAAAAGAACTATTGATGTTCATAGACTATAAAAGGGAAAACATATATATATATATATACACAATTGGGAATTATTGAGAATCTATCATGATCATTGATCACGCATGATATAAAACCAAACCAAACCAAGTCTTATGTCTTATTAAATGGGGTCGGCTGCATGAATATTTCTTCTTCACTCGACTCTATCTAAGATCATTTCGTTAGTCAAATTAAGGAGAATCATGTCTCTATTTACTACACTAGTCCATGTCAATCTAGGTCTACTCCTTTTCCTAACACTACTATCTACCGCCATTGTATCGCATCTCTTCACTACTGCCTCTGTTGGTCTTCGTTGTATATGACCAAATCATATCAATTTATTCTCTCTCAACTTATCTTCTATCGGTATTACTCCTACCTATTCTCAAATATACTCATTCTTAACTCTGTATTTTCTAGTCTTGCCACACATCCACCTTAGCATTCTTATCTCAATAACACTCATCTTCGCTATATGTTGTTTTTTAATTGTCCAATATTCCATATCGTACAATATCACTAGTCTAGAAACACAAAAACACACATGATTGAGAATTATTGTAATAATTTGATTAAGGTCATACATTTTTGTGATTTGGGAACGTACTGTGATGATCATACATGATCCAAAAAACAAAAACAAAGACAGAGAAAAAATAATTGAGAATTATTGTAATAATTTGATTAAGATCATACATTTTTGTGATTTGGGAAATAGGATATATGCAGCCTTAAATTTATGACTTCTCAAAATATTCAGTTGATCCTCTTTGCTAACATGCACTTGGAAGGAGATTGTACCAAAATATTAGAGCCTACAAAAAAATCTAAGTTGTCTGTAAAATGCCAGATCAAATAATATATTTCAAGATAGATTACGATTATAATCCTTGAAGTCTAACACTTTTTTTCGTTTAACTCCTTAAAGTTTTAATTTTGTCAATTAAATCTTTAAAATATTAAATTCGAATCAATTTAGTTCTAAAGACAATATAAAAATAAAATATAAGTCCAAAAAGTTGTATAAAATTATAAAATTGTTATAAGGCCTGAATTTTAATTTATTGTTAATTTAATTATCCTCCGCGCATGTGATTTAGAATTGATATCAGAGTTTAGTTTCTCAGTTTTTCTAATATTAATATATGAGCACTACTAAAGAAATCGAATAAGATAATTTAAATAATAGTATTGCACTACAAATAATTATTGAACAAAATAATACTATAATCAAGTTACTAAGCATCATTTGAGAACATGCTATTTTAGTAACTTTTTAATTTTTTACAAAAAGATATGCAGAAAATTAGATAGATTAATGTAACAACTTATAGTGACTTTTTAACTAAAATATATAATTGACAAACGAGACCTAAAACAACTTAACGAAAATCTTAAGAAATATCAATTAGAAATTATAAATGAAGTTCAACATCTATTACTGGGTGAAGGTAAACAGTTAGCTCTCGTAGAAAATAATACAATAATTATTCTTATCATTCCCGGTGAACTCTCCAAGGAATACCACCAGAAAAATAAAAAAATAGATCTAAGTAATTATAGTCTAGATGAATCATAAATAATGAAAAAAAAAAACCAAAAGAATAATGAAATAAAATATAAAATAATATTAGAATCAAAAAATAGATAAAATGGACAATTATGAATTAGAAGAACTAAATAATAGTAGAATAGAAATAGAAGAAGACCTATATAAGCAATTAGAATTAATAGTTAGAGCAAAATATACCAATTATAAAAATACACGTGTAGAGGATATTTAAATTAACAATAAATTAAAATTTGAGCCTGATCACAATTTTATATAACCTTTAGACGTATATACTATTTTTATATTATTTTTAGACTTGAATTAATTCGAATTTAATACTTTAGGAACTTAATTGATAAAATTAAAACTTTAAGAACTTAAATAAAAAAGATATTAAACCTTTGGGACCAGTACTCTAATTTATCCTTATCAATTACACTCCTCTCCAATGCATTATCTAATCTAATTAGTCCGCAAAATGTCAGATCAAATGGACCTATTTTACTAGTAATGTTTCTCTCCAATGCACTGAAGGTTATACATCAGCAATCAGAATTAATCAGTTAGAGCAAAATATATCAATTATAAAAATACACGTGCAGAGGATAATTAAATTAACAATAAATTAAAATTTGAGCTCGATCACAATTTTATATAACCTTTAAGCTTATGAACTATTTTTATACTATTTTTAGGCTTGAATTGATTCGAATTTAATACTTTAATAACTTAATTGATAAAATTAAGACTTTAAAAACTTAAATAAAAAAGATATTAAACTTTAATGACTATTACTGTAATATAAGCTTATCAATTACACTTTTCTCCAATGCATTATCTAATCTAATTGGTCCGCAAAATGTTAGATCAAATGGACTTATTTTACTAGTAACGCTTCTCTCCAGTGCACTAACTGTGAGAGGCCAGTGCCCACTAGTTTCTCATATAGGGAACTAACATCTCATAGTTACTAAAGAGAAGCCTATTTTGTTTTTTGCATACCCAAATTTTTATACAAATTATTTTGTTTTTTGCATACCCAAATTTTTATACAAATTTTTACAAGCCGTCAAAATGATCAGATGATGAACATTGAGGACCCCAACATAAAAATACACAATAAGGCCTCATTTGGCCAGTGATTGTTTTAGTCAAAAAATCAAAAAATTATTAAATTGGTCAAAAAACCAACAATTCATACCAAAAAATCAAAGATTCTCTTTTTTCTCTACTTTTTACACATCTTTTCGTAAAAAATCAAAAAATCATCCCAAACATACTAATTTTTTTAACTCATATTTTAGCCAAATAGCCAAAAAATTATTAAATTAGCCTGTTTCCAAACGAGGCCTAAGATACTCTCTCAGCAGAGAAAATTACTCGGAAAATCATCAATATTAGGTCCCCACACAAAAATAAAAATACTGACAGCTTTTAATAACATGAGTCTCATGGTTTACATAGTTTTCTTTTTTTTTTTTTTTTGGGCCAATAAGAACACAAACATGCAATGCATGGAAAGGCCAACAATCAAACAAACAGCACCATTCAAAATAACATAAAGTAAATTACATTCAAATCCACTCTGGGAATATTTATTAGCACACAATACACAAAAACAACGGTAAAGTAGTTCCATAATGACTTGAGCATCAAAAATCAAAGATTCTCTTTTTTCTCTACTTTTTGCACATCTTTTCGTAAAAAGTCAAAAAATCATCCCAAACATACTAGTTTTTTTAACTCATATTTTAGCCAAATAGCCAAAAAATTATTAAATTAGTCTGTTTCCAAACGAGGCCTAAGATACTCTCTCAGCAGAGAAAATTACTCTGAAAATCATCAATATTAGGTCCCCACACAAAAATAAAAATACTGACAGCTTTTAATAACATGAGTCTCATGGTTTACATAGTTTTTTTTTTTTTTTTTTTTGGGCCAATAAGAACACAAACATGCAATGCATGGAAAGGCCAACAATCAAACAAACAGCACCATTCAAAATAACATAAAGTAAATTACATTCAAATCCACTCTGGGAATATTTATTAGCACACAATACACAAAAACAACGGTAAAGTAGTTCCATAATGACTTGAGCATCATGCGCTCAAATCACTGAAACAGCCTCTCATATGATTTTATTCTTCTCAGATCTCATAGTAGTAGAGCCTCGAACACTGGAACTGCCCACTACCTCATAATAGCCATTAGAACACACAAAGGTCCATAATCATTCTACAAACACTCCCAACAAAATCACACAACCCCACTGTACAACCACCAAGTTCACATGGAAACAAAGCAACCTTTACGACAAGATTTGATCATAGATGGGCCTTCACGCTTTAACGATAGAGAGAGAAATGGTGAGAGTGAGGTATTAGATTCATTCTAGGTATAGCCCACATCATCAAGTATGAATCTATGCCACAATTTTTTTTCTGATAATTTTTCAGACTACTTTTTCGGGTACCAAATAACAAGAGCAGAAAATCAAGAAGCAGAGAGCGGTGGAGGGTGGAACCCAAATTACCGAAGGAGTCCAAAACAAATTACCCGAAAAATCACCAGAAAATAAAGCATGTGGACCAGATTCAATCTGGCATAACCCACTTCACACTAAATTTGAATCAACACCACATACTTCATTTTCTGATAACTTTTCGAGTATGGGTACCAAATGACAAAAGCATAAAATCAAGAAGAAACAAAGAGGGGTGGAGGGTGGGACCCAAAATTACCTAACGCGCATGCACTCAATCCATGGGGGGCTCTCAACAATTCCAGGAAAAAGGTTCCTCATTTTACAGCACAGCTCACACCACCAACATAACCATGCCTTCAAATCTGACTTTTCTTTGAAAACCCCACAAAAAAAGCTTTAAAAATAATCATTCTGGTCAACAATTATAACTCCCCCACATCATCTTCACCTCTCCAAGTAAAGTTCAAATCCATCATCCCATTAAGACTTTCCTTTATTGGTTCATCATATTCACTCCTCTAAAGAAAGAAAAAGAGCTTCACAAAAGCCTCACCAAAGCCACCACTATAGAGTTTTCAAATCCATGAATCATTTCACTTACTACTAGCTAACTCCTAAAGCTTTGGCTTCGACCTTCAAATACTTCAAGTAACTAATAGCTTCTTCGATGACTGACAACGGGTCTTTGCTCTTTACGCTCGGAATGAGGCATTCGAGAAATTTCACTGTTTCACGGATCTTATCCTTACTTGACTGCTCGGTGCCTATAATGGAATCCAAATCCTCTCCTTGAGTCCTGCCTTCTGCATCATCTTCATACTCCGGTTTTGCTGAACTCACTGTGTCCATTAATGATGATTTCTTGTACCCACCATCAATCAATTTTTGCCTTTTCCTAACACCATCTGAACTAGCATCTTCGGCTGTTGTGTCCTCCATGTGTTCGCGTTTCTTATAACTCCCTCCTTTAATAGTGAATGGAGAACGATCCGTGCTTGTTACTTCATCTTCCTCACTATCACCACCATCGTCATCTGAATAAAGCAAGGCATTGATTTCTTCTGTGTCTTCATGCATTTCGCTTCCCTCCCCAATTATTTGAATCTCATTGGATTTTTCTTGAATGGCGGGCTTGGTTGGAAAATTTTGCACCATTTTATCTGGCTGTCCTTTGCCACCCATATCACAAGCATCAAGAAATTTTGTTGGCGCAACAATACTGTTCTGGGCAGGAGGGCGAATTGGACTCAAAAACAATCTTGTCTGATTCCTGGACTGATCAAAGATGATGAACCTTCTCTGTGTAGGCCCAGATACAACATTTGGCTCCTTTTTGACATATGGGCTTGAAGTGTAAGGCAAGCAATCTAAGTGAGTAGGCAAACAGTGAAACAACCCATGAGCTGCATTCGTTTGGCCTTTCCCTGAACCATGTAATCCAGGAACTCTGAACCCTGGAAAAGCCACATCCGTAGAAACTGTACAATGGTTCATAGAAGACGGAAAAACATTTTGTTGCCCTTGCTGTAACAGCGTGCTGGTGCAATTCAATCGGGGCAATTGACGAGCAGAATGCTGCGGAAATAGCCAAGAGTCTTTGGGCTTAACCATCCAGCCAAAGCAAGTCAACTGAACACAAAAATAGAAATTATTATCCCTTAGAGATTTCCAAAAATGAAACAAAACTGTTCTAGCTGCAATTACTAGCAAGATATCGACATACATACCAGAATATAGATGTACTTATATCTGTAATATGCAATCACTTTCTGGAATGAGAAACGAAAAAGGAAAAACAGAAAAAAAAATTCCCAGCTCGATGTGAAGACGATGCAAACGGGGAATCGATCTACGTGACAGGTTTAAGCAAGTGACGGAAGTACTCGGCCTGGAAAAAGCAAGACAAACATGATATTATGAATACCTTCTCATTAATCATCATCTAGAGGAGTATGATCCACAAAAATATGAAAGAATCGATTGGTTCGTCCAACAAACAGTCATGCAAGGAATTAAAAACTACAAACTACAAAGAGCAATGAAATTACGAAAATTGACAGATCGTCTTCAACTTACCTGACAATCTTGCAAAGGTTGAAAGCATGCTATGACTCTAACTATAATAGTTGCTCTTCCTGCAATCCCACTCTCATGTTTTAATGCCCGAAATCTCGTTTGGCTCGCTGCTTGGCACACCATAACTTCTTTCTACCCTTGATTAAAGCTTGAAGTCTAAGGGAAAGATATAGCAGAAAATAGAGAAAAAATGGGACCACACTAGAGATATAAATCAATAGCAAGTTAGGAATGTGAAATGTTGTCAAATTGAAGAGAAACTAAAAAAGGGACTGCGAACTTGAAGTTGTTTAGCTGTTTTTTTTTTTTCTTCCTTTTTCTCAATCAGCTAATCCTACGGATATGAGAAGGGTTGAAACAAAAGTGATTGGATCCCATGGACTTGCAGAAATCAGTGACTGGAAGCAAAAATTAGGGTTCGGCGGAATGGATAGCGATTTATAAAATAACCCTACAATATAAGTTCAAGGAGATAGCTTTACGAAACACATCAATTGATTGACTCGACCACCGCATATTGTTCTACGAATGAAATCCCCAAAACTGCAAACCTCAGCACTATATATCCAAGTTATCTGCAAAAGCAGGAAACAAAAACATTGTGAGATCTATAATTAGTAATAACTTAGATCAATGATAAATAAAAACACTGAATTATTAAATTATTGATGGATCAAAACAACATTGGACTTCCAAAAGTTGTAAATGAATTTGGATTTTCACCCTCTTCTATAGACATCAAATTAAATGTACTTCAATCCTCATCTTGGTTAACCCTCTATAAAAACTCATCCAAGTCTCATACTACCTTGGTTTCTTGAGAACTAAAACAAAAGAGCAATTTAATAACCCCTTGATTATTAGCAATCAAACAGAAAAAGAAAAGGTGACCCATTAAATAATCAATTTTGACCTAGCAGAAGATGAAACTAGTAAGTATGATTGTGTAGCACATTAGATAATCAAAAACCATAGTAAAAGCATTTCACAATTAAAGGAGAAGACAAAAATAAACCAAGGGAAATGCTAAATTTTGCTCATTAAAGAGAGAATCCAACATCTAACCAAAAGAGAAGCATAAGAATCACAATTTATGGACCTCGATAATGCTGAAAAGTTTCAAACACGGAAATTACAGCAATCACAAACAATGACGTAGCAGAATACAGTTAGAGATACCCAGAGCTTGGTTGGTTGGTGAGAAACCATAGGAAAAGGAAAGAAAAACAACAGAAAAATAAAAGGAAAATTAAAAGCTCATGTATGTATAATTGTGTATATTGCATACTAGCATATGGCTGAGTTTTTTTATTTTTATTTCAATTACCCTGTACGAGAAACTAAGCGAAATTCCCATAAATTTTCTGGGTAACCAAACAGAGACGCATCAAGATCAGAGAAGAAGCGAACTAAACATAAGAAAAAACAAAGGAAAATAGAAAATCTATGGAAACCCATAACTTTCTGAAGCAAAAGGTCCAAAATCAAGAAAGAAAAAGAGAAGGAAATTAAAGATTCCAAGAAACTTACAGTGAGAGCTCAAGAAGGGCAGAGTTTGAAAAGATCTGATTGTTTGCTCAGAGATCCAAATAGAGAAATCGTTGACTCAGCAAATTGAATCTTAAAATACTGCAAAAAGATATTGAGTAATTAATGAGAGAGAGAGAGAGAGAGAGAGAGAGATGCTGAGGAGGAGGATGGGGGAGGAGATTAACAGTTACACATACAACTTAGTCAAAAAACAAGAAGTGATAGCACCAGGGAGCAATGCTAGCTACCATTATTATAGACTTTCCAAATTACGAAATTACCCTTTTCTTTTTTCATTTTTTTTTTCAAACACCTTTTCTTTAGTTTTAAAACAAACAATATGCCTAATGAAGGATTGGTTTGGAATGTCCTAAAAAAGTACATTTTTTGATTTATTAACTTATATGAATTGGGTTTGGATTGAGTTTGATGTGATGTGTTAGAGAAGTGATATGATTTAAATAAGATGATGTGACTTAAGGCCAAGTTTGGGAAGACTAAATAAGTGCACTTTTTGACTTTTTATGAAATATGGGTTGGATTTGGATTGGGTTTGAAGTGATGTGTTAGAGAGCTAATGTGATTTAAATAAGATGATGTGACTTAAATAGGATAGTGACTTTTTGACTTTTTGACTTTTTAAATTTTTTGGAAGATGTCAAATTTAGCCTAAAATAGTGACTTTTTGACTTTTTGTATTATTTAGTAGATGTCAAATTTGACCTTAATAACACATATGTTTGTGCAGTGATTCTACATGAATCTTAATAATATTGAATTTTTATAAACATGTCACATAAAATAATAATTTAAATGTAGTACACGAAGATAAGTGTAACATTTGGAACAAAAAATTTTAAAAAATGAAAAATAGAAAAAAAAATACAAAATATTGAATTATCAATTTCAACTACGAAGTTGAAAAATAATTAAAAAAATATTTTCTGTCTCTATTTTCTCTCTTTTTCTTCTCAAGCCCCTTTTTTGTCTTCTCAAGACTATTTTGGAAATATGATTAAGCTTTTAACCTATTTTAAGTCATATCACCTCTCATATTTTTACACATTTTAAAAAAAAATTTAAAAATTTAAAAATTAATTTTTAATCACGTTTTTAAAACAACTCTCAATCTCTCTGTCAACCTCACTTTAACCACCCACCCCTAGCCCCTTCTCCTAAAATCATTACTGTGTGAGACATTGTGAGTGAAGTGATTTGTAGAGAGAAATATACCAAAGGAGGAGATTGGAGATCTAGGATTTCGAGAAGGGATAAGGATTGTTGCATGTTATGAGGAAAGAGTTAGGGTGTTGTAGTGGCATGTAAATTTTTTGTGACACTTTGATCCTTAAAATTTTTTATTTGTCATTTTGGTTTTAAAACACTAATAAAGAATACAAAACATAAAATTACATTGTTAATAAAAAAATTAAAATGTTTATTTTAGGGACCATAAGTTAAAGTTATAATTATTTTCATTAACGATTTAGTTGATCATTTGTAATTAGACTAATTTCACTTAAATTGAAACTTTTACGAACAAAATTTACTAAATTGAACTTGAAAGACCAAGATGAAACAAAATATATTCTTTAAGGACCATAAGTACATTTTACCCAATTTTGTTACAGGAAAGATATGTGCACAAAAATGATATACAAAAAAATTCAAAAAATATATTATATAGTCTAGATTTAACTCATGCACCGTAAAATCTACATTTAGAATGAATCTAAAACACACTAATTTTTCTTGAGATATTCTGGACATAAATTTTTTTTTTTTTTTTTTTTGGTAATACTGGACATAAATTTTGTATACCTAGCATTGTTTATTTTGTTAACAGCATTGGGCTAAGATAGACATATGCCATTATATCTAGTTCTGTACCTTTAGAAGGCAGCCAAAGCAGATGGCCCCCCCAATAGGACCCATGAGGGAATAGATTAGTGCATATGGAGGCCATGAGTGAATAATTGGAGAGCAATTGAGTGAAGGTCCATTTCATAATTAAGGTGTTTTCATTCAATTAATTTTGCACTCAAAAACATTGTCAAAGATTGTTGTATCCTAGTCCAAGGCATGTACAAGTAATTTACCAAATAATTTATGCAATATGGTCTACATCATGTTACTCTTAACAACAAAATGAATGGTTTGATATAAAACTTTTACTTGAATTTGGAGAGAACAATGAAATGTGGTTGATGAAGCTCATCCATACCATTATGAAGATTGTTGGATTCGATCTTATTTGGATGGTCTTGCATTAGCAAGAGCATGTGCTTATAAAGGTGCACAGACATGCTCAAAATAAGATCGAATCCCCTCCGACATGCTCAAAATCAAGATCGACTCCTCAAGATCGAATCCCCTCGAATTCTCAAGATCGAATCCCTTCCAAGGAAACTTTTGGCCCTGCCAATTGGGTGTATTCACAAGTAGATATTTTTTTTTCGCTACAACGGAAAGAATCACAAGTAGATATTTACGTGGATATATTTACAAAGAAAAAAAGGGCTAGAACAAGTACTTTCTAAATGTTTTAAATATGGGATTTGATAGAAACCCCTCTAATCCCCCCTACACACACGTGGCGGGTGGTGATTGGAGGAAAAAGGAAAAAAAAAATATATCAACCTTAAGTAAACCCAAGATTGGTTGTTTAGGGTGGGTTGGGGTGTAAATTTTCCTTTTTTGTGCCATCTTCAAGGGGGTTGGGGGAGGGGGTCCGGGCCTTTTTCCTTTAAATATATGGTCAACAAATTCTGAGGCAACACATAGATGGGGAATTTATTGGAATTTTTTTTTATTTGTATTTCAATTAATTCATAAGATATTATTATATTCTAATAAATTTTTAATTATTAGACAATTGATTTATATATGTGGTGTGACACATTTGTAAGCAGATTTTATAATTTTGTCCTTATTATTTATTATTTTAGTATTTTAATTTCGTTTAATTAGAGTTCAATTAGGAACTTTATTTTGGTTAGGAGCTTTATTAATTTGTTTTCTTTTTCCTTTTCTATCAGGATCTGGTTTCCTATTTTGAATTAGGATTAATGACCTGTAATATTAGGCTTTGCATTGTATTATTCAATTTTGGAATAGTATTGAGTATTGAAGACTCTGACAGTTTATGTTAAGGGTGTGCCCCTCCCTCTTCTCCTCCTTTTCTTCTTTTTTATTCTCTTCCCCTATTGCACACTACATCAATATGTGTACATTTTTTTTGGACAAGTATATGTATGGGTATATTGTAGTGTTCATTTTTTTTCCTTTTTTTTTGCAGGAAAAAATGGTAATCTTTCTCAGAAGTTCTGGAGGTACTTATTATTAATTTCAGTTTCTTTTTTTGGGTTTTATTTTTTAAATAAAAAACCTAAGTTTGTAAGGTTTAGTTTATGTAGCCTCCTCTTATCTTAATACTCTCTCTCTCTGTTAATTGTTTCTACATTAGCACGAAGGACGCAGGGCAGCAGCCATTCACCTTTAAAATTGGCCAAGGTTCTGTTATTAAAGGTAAAGTTTATTACTGTAATCAATAATTTTCTATTTAAATGATATTCAGATGGAAACCCTTTCCCCATTATCTAGTTCTATTTTGTATATATTTACCATATGGTAGAGGATATGACTTGATATGTGTTAATGATTTTGATTGTTTCTCATTATTGATTTTACTTGTGCTCTTAAGAAAAATGCTGGTTTACCTGATACAAAAGTATTCCTTGACTTGCATATTGCTTTTCTGTTTTTTTTTTTCTTTTTGTTTTTTTTGGATGTATGGTTGTGGTTGTTGGATTATACCTTTTTTTTGGCTCCTCACAAGAGTTTATAGGTTTGTAACAATGCCAGACATTTTATCCTGAAACTCCCTCTCTCTTTCTCTCTGTTTTTCTAATATGACACTATATTGCTGGGATAAAAAAAATTGACATTTGATGCAATCTTATGCAGGGAAAGTATGTGAAGTATATTACAAACAAAGGGGAAACCATACTATAGTTATTTGACAAGATTTTTACTCATATGAGTTCTATCTTGCCTAGGAGTTAATTATTTTAATTTTATAGTATTGCTTTTGTTTCTTCTTTAATTTTGTGTTTTGGCCTATAAAGGTGGCTGCCAGCATGTGCTGTTGGTTGTGGGCTGATTTACTTTGTTCAAGACAGGTTTAATGAGTTTTAGAAGCCAAATACATACGTCTTGGCTTTTTGCTTGGGCTCAATAATTACTTGTTCTCCAAGTTCTTTTGGTGGCCATGTATGACTACGAAGCATGTACACGAACACAATATATACACATTGGCATGGCAATTTTCCACAACATGCAAGGCACGACACGTGTAGGACATATACAAAATATATAATTTTATATATTTATTAGCTGTCATACGGATGAATGCTTCATTTAAAGACAATAAAAAAATGTAACATTAACATTAATTTCTAAAATTTGAAGGAGGAATTATTAGACATAAATCTTCATTATTTTTAGTTTATCACAAGATTCTAAGCTATTTTGAAAGTGTTTCATCGGACACACCCAAGGTTTTAAAAAGCGGCCGCAACCGTTATGTAACGCCGTTACGTAACGGTTTTGGCGGTTACCGCCACCCGTTACGGCTGCTTTTGCAGTGTGATTGAGATTCACAGGTGCGTCGGCCGTAGCGGCTGCTGTAGCAGTCGTAACGGTGCCATAACAGCCGTAACGGCCTGTTACGCACCGTTACGTAACGGTTCCAAACTGTTTATTTCAAAAAAACACAAAAAAAAAACTAAAAATGAGAGAAGAGAGATAGAGAGAAGAGGGAAGATAAAGAGAGAAAATAGAGGAGCAAGAGATAGAGAGAGAAAGAAAAGGGAAGATGAAGAACATATTATTGATTTGTTGAAACTATAAGATGTATGCTATTCTATTCAGCTGCTATCACTAAACCATTTTGTTTGTGTGTGTCTATCTATATATTATTTGAAAATAATAATAATAATAATAAGTGTGGTTATTATCTATTTGGTTTTGTTAAAATATGTATATATATATATATATATATATTTAGGCTCTTATTTATTCTTTTACTTTTGTCATTATTTATCTTATATATAATAATTAGTGATTGATTTTTTGTAAAATATAAAGTCATTAATTATTAAAATAAAATATAAAAAACTCAGTTTATAGTGATTTAAAAATATGAAATATATTGGATCATACTTAAAAATTTATAAAAATTGATCAATATTTATTTTTAACCCAATAAATATGATTATGGAAAAAAAATATGTGTATCGGTAAGTTTTTTTCAAATTCTGCAAAAAATAAAAAAATTCACGGTTCCGGTTACCGCAACAACTTTGTTTCCTGGTTGGGAAGATGAATAGAGAAATCTTTTGCAACCTATGACACTATGAAATTGATCAGAGCTCAAAGGTCTTCATTGTGACATTTGACTGCATTTTACCTTCTCAGCATTGTTGTGATGAGCAGGCATTCCTTTTTAATTTCTTTGTTTCATATTGGAAGAGATTTTTCAATGCGAATATTCTCCAACTTTTTCTAACTTGTATGAATTGCGATTTTTATTGGAAGACATCCTTACCTCAGTTGTATTAACAGAAAAGTGGCTCTGTTATTATCATCTTAGGCAGTAAAGTTTCTCAGTCTTCCATTTACTTTTACAATATATATGTAAAATATCACCCCTTTTTCGTTATATGAAGATAACAAATACATGCACCTTTGCTAATTTTTGTTCGACTCATTTTCAATATCCATCCTTCAAGTACTACTTTACTCAAAATTTTGGAAAAATTATCAAAAAATTTCTTTTCCCATAATCGAAACACTACACAGAGGTATGAAATACCTGCGCACATTAGTAGTAATGTGGTCCGATTTACCTTTAAAACCTGCTTACATATTAAGTTTGATCCTTTTTCTTGTATGACGTTGCATGGTACTGGTGAATCAGTTATAGGGACAATTAAATCTGTAATACAGAATTATATTCAAATCTAATGTTTTTAAGATGCCCTAGAGTTGGGCATTGCTTCTCTGAGGTGGCAATTGTTGTATCATATTAAGATGTGGCATAAATGGTTTTGTGGTTGTTAATTCATTTGGAGTATTTATTCTATGTCAGGATGGGATGAAGGCGTTCTGGGAATGCAAGTTGGAGAAGTTGCTCGGTTACGGGTAATGTTCTGACCTTTTGGTTTAGTTGTTGTGCCTCTTCTGAGAATCTTGGCCAGTTTTGGTTTTTTTTTTTTTTTTTTTTCTGGTTGCTCTTTTGTTATTGTTGGTCTCTCACCAACCTTTGGTAGGGCTACAAAATGAATTGGGTTTTTATCATATTATAGTTCAATTAGTGTAAATCAAAAAGCGTTATAACGCAGCGGATAAAATGTCAGAATCATACCTTTTAGCGAAGAACCTCGTGGGTAAATCACATATTTCCAGAATCTGATAAACCAACCCAGCAGTGGAGTGATATTACAGAATGAATATCACCCACACAAATCACAGTGCAAACGGCTTTGATCGTTGTTTTTGGGAGAGAGTCAGAATATGGGAAATTTATGTGTCTTAGACTTGACAGGAGGGTCTCAATTTATACATGTATATGGGAGAGAGGAAAAGCCTCCAGCCTTTATAGCTGGTTATTAATGTACCATTAATTTCTACAATAAAAGCAGGAGCTACAAACCCCATTAATGCAGGAGTTACAAACCCCATTAATGCAGGATTACCGTTATAAATTCAAAGCATTGAAATGGTCATGCCACATGGGTGCCCATTTCTAACATCTCCCACTCACACATGAATTGGCATGACACTGCCACATCTCTATCTCAATCTCCCCAAAAAATGAACAATCTCATACTAGCCAATGCACCGTGCGACCGCTAAGAACACCTGCATGTGGGAGTTCTATACTAGAAACTCAAAATGAGCCAGCATAGAGACATCAACCCAAAAAGAACAGAAATAGTGTCTCACATACCCCAGACCCATCTAATTACACTAGTCCAAAAAATATCTCTAATCCCTCAAAAAGAGCATGTTTGACCCTCTCAATTCTTGCAATATATTCACACTCAATCCGCTTCTTATACAGAGCGATGTGAGTTGCCGGCAGTGAATATACAACAGTGGTGTAATACTAGATGATCTTCCCTTTGCCTTTATGCCATTTAGTTTAGGATTGACCGCTTTCCCAGTGATGTCCCTTAAGGCCGAATCATACATGACCGCAGGCAACATACCAAAGTAGCAGGACATCAACCCCTTACCTTATGACATAGTCAAAAGTCACAAAAGGGTACATAAATGAAAGTCATATCAATAATGACACGTAAGACTCACACGGTGAGGAAACAGGGATCCATTCTCTCACCTCATTACTCGATCACCAAGCACATGTAGTATGAATACATGTTACGGTGGAGTAACTCTTCCAAAAAAGAGTAATGTCATACTCGATACACCGTACAGATATTAGTCTAGTCGCTTAAAATTTTGAATGGACAACTAAACATCAATAATATCAAAAATTTGACCTTTCATGAAAAGAACTAATTTCCAAGAAGTTTGAAAAAGGAAAGAAGATCAAATTACAGTAAGAACTACACAGCAGATTCAAATCCAGCAACCAGAAACAGAGTAGTTGAGAACTACCTGATGATCTCCACATGTTCAACTTCACCACAGTAAGCAAAGAACTCATAAACAACCTTCTCCGTCGCTCTAGGAGATAGGTTTGTTACTTCTGCAGTATAACCACCAGGGTACATTTTTTGAAGGTCCAAACAAGAAAAACTTGCCTAAGCCTGCTGACATCATCATCTGCTAATCATTATGACACAAACCATAATAGTGTCAACATCCCATCATCTCAAAATAAGTGATCGATTTAAAAAAAAATTGACCACAGCTTGCGCAATTATAGATTCCAAATATAAGCCTTATCAGTACCTCTTGCGATAAGTATATACGACGGAATCCACCATGTGCGCCTCACATGAAGTGATTCAATAACCTCTCTAAAGATATTTTGGTGACCAATTTGCATTCATTCTTGATGCGCCCAACTAGCACATTGAATCTTACAAGGAGCAAATTAATATACTACTAGTAAAGCATGCTATCCACAGTCTAATGAGCAAGGTCAATGTCTAAACAACTCAGTTGACCATTTACCAAAGATAACACTTATCACGCCGAATACGCCCACAAAGCGTACTTTAGGTCCCACAACAAAAAAGATCAAGGAATATAGGTCATCTGTTTCTCCCAAAGACAATACGAGGATACACTCAATAGCTAAGGCTCTGGCTTTTACCGATCCTTAAGTCAATGGGTTTGCAATTTTGCATCTAGAATCATTCTAGGATATTCCTTATGTAAGTCATCGAAGACAAACCGAGAATTTTCCCAAAGCAATCCCTAAGGATCATGCATCCGAGCATATAAATTACATCACCCATGTCCATCATATCTAAAATAGAGGACTGCCCACCCTAGGTGGCGACAACCTTATAAATTCCTGGCTCATAATGACTAAGGAAAAACTTCTTTTCTGGACCATTGATCATGCCTCAGTGGTCTTCATCGATCATCGTTGGCCTATCATGGCTTGACGAAATCTAAGAACTACTATTTGGATAACTGTTTTAGGCTGTAAAAGATTTATTGGAACTAGCAACCTTTTTGCACTCCTAAATTTTCACCATAAAAGCAGAAGGTAAATCCCTGTGGATCTACTTATCCAATTCTCTAACGAGAAAGTTGGGTCACAATGTCCACAAATCAATGTTCCGAACTTATGTCAATCATAGCCTAAGTCAAAATAACCTCACTCCCCAGGAGGAAGTCTTCTCATGATCTGCACTTTTCTCAATGGTGCGACTTTTCGGTATCTAGCGAGCCTTATGCCTCAATAATGACTATCCAAATTACGTATAACTTTAGAACAGTTTTGCGTCATAACGGAAAGTCAACTAAATTATAGAAATGGTTAATCCTCAAAGACTTTGTCTTAAACTGCGCAACATTAATCCACTTTCTAAAAACAGGGGACTAGAGCCTTTGGCATTATCCTATGCTTTTTATCATCTTGCGGAGTAATCATGAATGTTTCCCTCTCAATCATCTAGTGATGACGTGGAAAATTTTCACATTCGCTACCACGCAACCAAGAATGCAGAGTATTCTTCTCTAATGGAGTAATCCATTAGTAGGCCCATCGCCCCCACTGTCCCTAGGATATTGGAAATTTCTTTCCATTCTCAACTAGGCTACATAGAGCGCTATGCTTAGAATTCTCTATCTTATAGAGTTCCAAAAACTCTATTCACGTCACCTTTACTAATAAAACTTTATGTGACTTAGTTACACTACCACAAAGCTGCTTACCTATATGTACATGACCCGGAGGGTTTGCATGACCGCATATAATAATGCGCCACACGACCCTTTGTGTTTACAAGACATCATACAATAATGCGCTATAGAACCCTAGGTCTTAACTTCGCAATCTTATGAGAAGTAGAATAAAGATAAGCTGCTTAATGGTTACAGATCGCCCATAGATGGCTCTCTGCTAACCCATTACTCAAAATGGAGTGTAAAATCTGATATGGAGGGCACTTAGTTAGGGATATAGGCAACAAACTAGTGCAATTCCCAATTGGGAAACATTTTGCGCCATTATCCACCTAACATTAACAATATTTAATTCCTTATCTCTACTACACCATTGTGTTGTTGAGTACTAGGAATAATCAATTTTCTAAGCATCCATCTCTGTTCACAGAGTTTTCTAAAATAACTCAAATAGATACTCGCCACTTGGTCAAAACTAAAGGCACGAAAACTATTATCTAATTGATCTCAACCTCATATGTGCAATGTCAAAAATCATCTTAGAACTTTTGACTTATGAGAGATCAAATAGTCTTGACTCAGATGCGTATCGTAATCTATAAATGTGCTGAGATTGAGGCTTAGCTATCATACCCATACACATATCTAGTCACAAATATCATAGTGGACTAAATGCGCCACAACAAATGACCTTCTACGGCTTTCCTACTTACTTGTGCGCACCCATTGTGAACAAAGTTACACATTCACATGAGAGCAGGATGTCATAAGCGAGTGTGCCCGAGAAGGCCTACTCAAACCATCGTGTCATCATCTCATTAATGTGATTAAGTATAATAAGCCACTGGTTCATGATCAATGTCATAAACTAATTCCAATCATCTTAATGTGTGAGTTCTTGAAGACAAGTTTTAAGGGTTTAGGCCCAACTAGGTAATGACTCACAACTAATTCATATTCACTAGATCATAAAAGGATGTCATGGAGATATCAAGTGCGCCTAAGTCACAAATTTAACTAGTAAGTGCTAATTCCCTGTACCTTTAAGTCAATTTTATTCTCCATACACTTTACTGCATCTAGTTGAAAGATGACGATACTCCTCTTGCCATATCTATTTCTCGCTTCATAGTTACTTGCAATTAATTCTACTATCCACAAGAAGGAGAGAATAAGCTATCAACTATGACAGCTCCTGAAGTAACTTAAGCGCGAATTAGGCTAAAGAGTCTAATTCAACACAATGCTCTCACGAGCTATGCGTCAAATTCTTAGAGTTATAACAGCCTTGTCGGCCTTGACCTTTTCATTATTTTGCTACAACGTTTGCGCTTAGTGGTAAACGTTATTCAAAAATGTTAGCCTAGCTAAGGAATCATACAAAGAAGCCCATCCTCATGTCGCACACTCAAGTGTAGAAACAGTAAGTGTCCAGACTTAGACAAGTTGGCAATGCTAATAGATTTGGACGTTTACAGGGGCAACTCCTTATTCTCTTGTCTATGGGATGGAAGCCATTTTGCCAATTGAAATTGAAGTTTCATCGCTGCGAGTTATGGCTGAGTGTCAGATAGTAGAGGCGGACTGGCAACAGAGCAGATTTGAGGAGTTAATGCTATTTGATGAAAGGAGGCTAAAAGCATTGTGTCATGTTCAGGGCTACTAGCGCAGAATTGCTAGGGCTTTTAACAAGAAAGCTAAGTCCCGGAATCTCAAGGAGGGAGATATGGTGTTAAAAGACAACCGAGCTCCCATCCATGACCCTAGGGGCAAGTTTAGACCCAATTGGACTGGTCCTTACATCATCAAAGCT